CCTTTCAAATGTGATCTTCTGATGTAACCAACCTATCCCTGTAGTTGGTAGTTCTTGGAAAGGGTAGGAGAATGTTTTAAGGAAAAAGAGTTATTTTCTTTTCAAAAGCATGCACACAGAGTGGAAACCAATTATATTTTAATTTATTGGACTCTAGGAAAAGCGGTTTAGCAGTTAATCCAGATAAAATGTGTCTTTCTCAAAAATCAATAGACACAGACCTTTAAGCACCTATATGGTTTGAGAGGCTGCATCAGCTCTCAATATGGCGCAGGCTTCAGTGACTCTAGCTGCTTATGTGCTTATGTGGCCATCACTGCAAACAGAGAACAAGATATGGCTTGTGGCCCTGGGACAGTCTTGGTATTTTCACTTCCATGGTTCAGAAGATATGCTCATGTCATCAAAAGAGCTGTTCCCAGGGTAGGAAGAATTAGACTTTTTAAGGGAATAAGGAACTAAGTTGCAAAGTGAAAAGATCATTTACAGATCACTTTGTACAGAGTAGGGCATGGCATAATGGTAGCTGTTACCAATGCTAAGTTTACATCCTCTGATATACATCCCCTATCTAATATATTTTTTTGAAGGAAGCTTTTATGCTTTCCTAAAGATTTTTTACATTGTTCTTTTTCAGAAGGTACTAGATCTTTGGATTTCAAGTTGGAGGCAAGTTGAATGATTCTTCCACAAGTCTGGAGAAATACGTTGGCTTTTAGAGGAGTCAGGCCATTGGTTATAATCTCAGATCCTGTCATGAATATTAAGTAGTTGCTTTTCTTGTGGTTTAAAGACTCTCTGTTGCCTACATCGCTGGACCTTAGCTCTGCTGAGCGTTAGACTGTGTATCCAGTCGGAATCTTGGTTTTCATTTGTCATGGGTTCAGGATATGCCTAGAGTTGCCATTGTTTGGTCCATTCTTGAGAAGTGCTGAGTTTTGAAATTGGAGGAGGAGGAAGTGATTTCCTGGGTTCTAGGTACTCAGACCATATTGAGGGGTCTCCAGACTCATCTCAGAATCCAAATAAACATATTGTAAACAGCTTGGTTATTTGCTTCATGAGGGCAAGGATTTTGTCTGTCTCTTTTGCCTCATGGCACAAACTACACACGGAATGCCTATTGATCAGATGAGTGAATCAATGAATTCAGCAGAGGGTTTCAGTATTAAGCACTTGCTTGCTTCCTTGTGACTATCTTTGACTTAATGTTTTCCTCTCGGGGTGTTACAGTCCTCTTGCTCTCCTTCACCTTTTTTCAGCCTGTGTTTTCTGAGTCTCTTTTAAACATGTAATTTACATACTATAAAGTTCACCCATTCAAAGTATACGGTGTAGTGGTTTTTAGTATATTCACAGAGTTGTATAACCATCACCACAATCTAATTGGTGCAGGAAGACTCAGGTTAAAATTCTTGTTTCTGCCACTTACAAGCTGTGTGATCTTGAGCAAATTTCTGAAATTCTTGGTGCCTTTGTTTTTCCTGGCTGTGAGATGATTTGTCACTCCTAGGGTTGTTGTGAGAAATAAATGAGGCATTGTATCTCAAGCACGTAGCTCGGAGCATAGCAAGAAGTATACTTTTGCAAGCCTTCTTTCCCTCCCCACTGTGACCCCTGGACCCTTCAGCTGCTGGACCACACAGGATGATGAGCAGGGACAGAGATGGCTCTGATCTGTGATATTCCTAATCTACCTTCTCCTGCCTCAGAAGCAGAGAGGAAGGGCCCTAAGAGACAATCTGCCCTTTGGGGTACCACCAACTCTGGCCAAGGGGTCAGCCAAGATGCCCCATTTAGTGCCCATCAACTGCCCCCACTAATTTTTTTATTCACAGTGTCTAATCAGTGGGTTTGACCTTTCTCTCAGACCTATTCGTTCCCACCCCACTTGAACTTCCATAAGTCATGGTCTTTAGTCTTCAGTGGTTTCTTCCCCCAAAGTAGCCCTCTCGGGAGGTTTTCGACTCTGCATTTCCCCTGCAATGGTAGAATATTAATGCTGGAAATGATCCAGTTAAGCCTTCCTCTGAACAAACAGAGAAGTGAGGTGACTTGGTTACATGGTTAGCTGAGGCAGGTCAAGTCTGGCACACAAGGAGCATTTAGTGCATGTTTGTGGTGTGAGGGAATGTCTTTTGCTACATTATATTGCCTCAGTTGGCCTAGGAATCCAATTGCAATCTGAGGGCTTGAGTTCACATTTTGACCCCACCTTTCTACTCCTCTTTCTAAAACAAAGATTAACCAATAGTGGTCAGTGGTCAGTGTTAAACAATGAAATCAGAAGCCTTGCAGAGCGAACCACCCTAGCTGGTAATAATAGTAATGTTGACAACAATGTTTGGAGAAAGTGGAATAACAACTTCCATCCTGATGAGGATCTGTACATTTGGCCTGAATCTTGTAATTCACTTTGGTTTCCCCTTTGGAATAGAGAGAGTTGACATTTTCCAGGCAGCTTTGACTTCGGAGGGATCTAGACCCAGGGGATTTGTTCCCTGCAAGTTACTCTGGTTAATGGATAGTGTGGTTAGTAAAGGGTCTGTATCAAGACCCTGAGCATGATGGGTGGAGGGGGCCGTGGGGAGGGGTGGAAGACATCTGTAAAAGGAAGAGGAGAAATGAATGTCAGTAAGCTCTAAAACTTCCTTTAATTAATTTTGAGGTTTACTTATCAAATACCCAGGTCATTTAGAAGCCTCCTTTTAGAAAGCACAATACTGTTGTAGAGAATTTCTACCCACTCACTCACCTTCCTTCCTTGACCTGCCTCTTCCCCTTTGTGAACTAGAATGTTATATCCTTGATGTGTAGGATGCACTCTCAGACCTCAGGCCAGGGAAAGAGTCGATGCTGGATGTTTTCCTTCCAAAAAACTGTTAAGGGTCCTAATTTTAAGTGAATAAAGCCTTTCAGCAGGCCCCTTGTTTCCCTAAATCAATTTGATTTTATGAAAACATTTATCTCCACCTACCACACCATTCATGTAATAATACCTTCCTGAACATTAATGTTTTCACCAGGTATATTTCAGAGAAGGGGGCTGGTGAGCAAGGGGAGGACTAACACACAGCAGGCTTTATAGGGAGCCCAGTTGTAGCAAAACTTTCCCCAAATCAAAGAGTTAGTAAGGAAAAAGCTCTCTGCTGGTTTCTGTGGGGGAAAAGATATAAATCAACAATGGGGGTGTTGGAGGGACCTGTGGTATGGGGTGGGGGCCATTGTTTGGAAAGACTCCAGCGAGAAAAAGGCAAGTTCAAGTGCATCCTGAGAGCACCTCAGTGCATTGTCAGTGGCCGTGGCTGACTCCGCTAGGAATGCATGAACGGAGGAATCTTTCCCCCTAAAAAGGGAAACTGTTGGAATTCTGACCAATCTTTTTGTAACTAAAAGCAGCTAGCCTTTCTAAGGCATTCCGAGGCCATGGCAGACATTTCAGGGCACTTTAGAAAGCAGAAGCCAGTTGTGGATGTGAACAGTGAGTAAAGCACTAGGAAACATTTTTCTCTGCTTTGTCACCTAGAGGCACCCCGATAAAGACCCCCCCCACCTTCAGGGCCCAGGAAACAACACCTGACCTCCCACCCGGGAGACGTGAAAAGCAGATGATATAAAATATTGGAGAAAATATTTAGCTGTTATTTCCAAATTCACACCCAACCTTTCTCATAGACGGGGTCTGGAACACTCGGTCAAATATTTTTAACAAATTGAGTGCAGAAGAGCCTGGAATACAGAAAACACTCTGAAGAATATGATTCCCCTTCTCCCCTCCTTCATCAGCGACTGTTTATCTTTCCATGGTTTTTTTTTTTTAAGTGATAAATACAATTAATTGGCGTCCTTGCTAATTCTTTTGTGATCATTAAAAAAATAAAAATAAACAGAAGGTCTCAGTGAGAGCATCTCACTAGCCGTTGCTTTAAAATAGAATTTTCTGAAGCATTGTTGATTTCTACTTATTTTTGTTGGCAAATCCTGGGAAAAATGTCTATCTTTTCCTTTAAAGTTCTAATTCAAGGCATGGATGTGAGAGTTCTGAAGGGACTTTGGGACTGCGGTAAAATTTCGTTGTCATAGTAACAGAAAGGGAAATAGGCCTAGCTCACCTGGGACTTTAACGCTGCAAAAGCTGGATTTTTTTTTTTTTTTTTTTTAAGGAAAAGGACTCTGCAAGTGAAATGAAAAACTTATTGTATTTTGCAAAAAAATTCCAAACATTAAATAGGTAAATGGCTGAGAAGGCTACTTTTTTTTTGGCTGATACACTTGTCTGATGAAAGATGCCTGATTTTAAAATTATACAAATAGGTTATTTAAGAGAATATCGGCTTAAGAATAAGTCTTACGAATGATAACCTCAGACTCTTATTCTGTGCCTGCTTATTTTTTCTGGGTAACCTATAGAACATCTGAGAGGATATTCACAATTGTTATGAACCGTAAAACCCCCAGTGTGTGCTTGCGCAGACTGACTGGGTGGTAACATGTCATTTCTTGATTTTATGCACATCGGTTGAAAATATCAGACGCCCTTTGTGTGTGAGGTGTGAGTGTGTGTGGCTGGTGGAGAGCCACATAAGGCAGGGACCCTGGGACTCTAGCCTAAGCCATGCCATTTTTAACCCCGAAGCAAGACATTTTTGCACGGCAGGAGTCACTGCTGCTTCTGAAGCCTTTTTATGGGGGCGGGGGGTGTGGGAGGCTGGAGAGAGCACCCTCACAACTCAGAGAGGGTGTCTACCCCAGAACCCTGCTTGGGAACCACTTCATAGTGCTTAAATGCCAGGGAGCATGGGCTGCGCAGGGCTTGCAACTGAAAACATCCGAATTTGCAAAATTGCAAGAGGGTCAGCATGCTCTTTCGTGGCAGGACAACTGAAATTCCCCAGACCTGAAATCCAATCACTTTCAAATCAAATCAAATACAATGCAGATAGAGGCTCTCTTTAAAAAACGTTTACTTAAAAATGTAACACATTGCTTTCTCTTCACAGATTCTTTTTAAAATTTTTCCTCAAGTGCAATCAGAATTGTTTGAAAACAGCAGGAAACCCAAGGGACATGAGGAGGTTTCAGGTAAGGGGCCTGCCGTTCTTTCCTGTTAAATAAGTCATCCTGTTTTCCCTTTCCTTAGCACTTTCTCTTTTTCTCTAGAAAACATTATTCTCTGCTGCTGCTAACAATCAGAACAGACAACTCTAAATGATAACCCTCATCTGATAGGATCGAGGGGTCTTCATTTTGTAGTGGTTAGGCCTTCTGTGGCCATCGCCAGTGCCCCAGAGGAGGGCACCAACCCAGGCTGGAGATTTGATTTTAAGCCCCCAGGCTGCCCTTCGCACACACAGCTGCCCACAGCAGGAGCCATGTTCTTGATATTCAGCCACCTTGGGATTTTTCAAAGCAGCTTCTCTGTGCTTTCTGCAAGCAACAGCCTCTTCCTTCCCTTTTCTTCCTATTAACTATTCAGTGCTCTCTCCCCGAGTCCTTTGGAAAGCAGCAGCCCAAACAGCCGTGGTCACTTTAAGATTGCAGATGACAACAAGACCCACGGGACAGTGACCCAGCTGCCTGGCAGTTAAATCTGCCACCGGTTTCATCACCCTTGCCACTGATGTACTGGGGATAGGAGCTAATAAAAACACAGCCGGGCAAAGTGTGTCAGGCTGGAGATGAGAGCAACTACAGCCCCTCATGGTCCCTTGCCTTAATTTCTAAGGACCCCTATTTAATCCACCAAATGCCTTTCCTGCCGTTCATGCCCAATCAAAATACACAGTGCTCCCTTCCCCTTCCCCCCTCCTGAAAATTAAAACATGTTAAACCATAGTATTTGAGCTTGAGGCTTAAAAAAAATCCAGGCAGCAACTTGAGAGATGGGGTAATCAGCCTCAGGTTTCAGGTGAGGGAGGCGAGGTTTGGGGAGTTTGCGAAATTCGCCTCTAATCACAGGAAAGAGGTGGAGGAGCCAGGAACCTGGGGATCTGTCTGACAAACTCTTGCCACCAGGCCATGGGTTTTCACCGTATGCAGCTGTGAGGTATAAGCTTTGCTTTACCTTTTTGTATTCTTAATAATTTCCGATCAAGGGGCTGCATGTATTCTTTTTGTACCAGACCCCACAAATTAAGTAGCTGCTCCTGCCTGTCACTCAAAGAGCTTCTGTGGTTTAAGAAGGTAGGGATGGAGTCACCAAAGAGTTAATAGAGGTGGTGGGCACTCAGAAGGCCAGTGACAGCTACTTTGAAAAAAAAAAAGATTTCTGTAATTTTTTTTTGCCACATCCTTGTTATCAGATAATCAGGCTGGGATCAGGTCATTTTTGTTCGTTACGTGCCACTATGACTGGCCTCCCTTACCAAAGCGAAGCTGCTCCTTTCCATCCTACACCCCCCCCCCACCCCCCGCTGTGTGATAGGAAGGCAAGTAGAAATAAAATGAGTGGGCTTGGAGATCAAGCAGGAACATTGCATGTGGTGGCACCCAGTTTCCCCAAATGCAATGCAAGTACTTTCAGTCCAAAGAAGAGTGAAATTCAAAAAAAATCCCACAGCACCCCAATGACCCTTTCACTTCCGAAAGGAACAAGGCAGGGTGAGGAAGTTGGCAGTTTGGTTTTCTTACATCCCCTCTTCTGCCATCACTTCCAAAGAGAATACATTCATACTGAAGAGGCTTTTAATTAGAATGCCTTGTCATTTTATTTATCTCAAATTTGAGGGATGTGCTCACTAAGCAAATCATGCTAGTATTTCTTTTACTTCTTCAGTTATTTACTAAGTGAGGTTTTTCTATGTACCTGTTTTTCACAGATTATATTGTTAATCTCAAGATGATGTGAAATTGTCATCCCATGTAAAAATGTTTGACTTTTGCACAGACAAGGAAAATGATTTTTAAGAAGTTTGTAGACTTTATGATTGTCTTAGTTCTGGGACAGAGCTAAAGTAAATTAGCATTTTTTGGCATTTTTTAAATTAGGAAATATCCATATAACATACCATTCACATTTCTAACCATTTTAAAGTATGCAGTTCAGTGGCTTTTAATATATTTGCAGAATTGTACAACCATCACCACTATATAATTCTGGAACATTTCCATTACCCCCAAAAGAAATACTGTAACTTCCAATTCCCTTCTCTCCCCAGTCACTGGCAACCACTGATCCTACTTTCTGTCTCTATGATTTGTCTGTTGCATGTAATATAAATGGAGTCCTATAATAGGTGACCTTTCATGCCTGGCTTTTTTCACTTAGCACAATGTTTTTGTAGTTCATTTATGTTACTGCATGTGTCAATATTTCGTTAGTTTTTATGGCCAAATAATATTCCATTGTAAGACTATGCCATGTTTTAATTATCTCTGCATGTGTTGATGAGCACTTGGGTTGTTCCTACTTTTTGGCTATTATAAATAATACAACTATGAACATTTCTGTACAAGTTTGCTTTTTTTCCTTTTGATGAACATATGTTTTCAGTTCTCTTGGGTATATTCCTAAGAGTAGAATTTCTGGGTCATACAGAAACTCTATCTTTAACTTTTTGAGGAACTGCCAAATTTTTCCACAGTGGTGGCACCATTTTGTAATCCCATCAACAATGTATGAAGGTTCCATTTTCTCCACATCTTTATCAACACTTGTTTTCTATTTTTTGTAGCCTACCCATTCTGTGAGTGTCAAGTGGTATCTCATTGTGGTTTTGATGTACATTTTCCCAATGATTAATGACGTTGAGCATCTTTTCATGTATTTATTTATTGACCATTCATATATCTTCTTTGGACAAATGTTCATTTAAATGCTTTTATTATTTTTAAGTTGGGTTGTTTTTTAACTGTTGAGTTTTAAAAGTTCTTTATATTTTTGAGATGCTATCCCTTATTAGAAATGTGATTTGCAAACATTTTTTTCTCATTTTCTTATTGACTTTTCACACATTCTTGATAGTGTCCTTTGGTGTACAAAAGAATTGGCAACTCTTGTACTGTTGTACTATACTCAGATTCTATTAAATGAAATATTAAATGAAATAATAAAATCAATGAAAGCTCTCTTACACAGAGAAGGCTATTATGGAGAAAGGCTTATGTGCTATAACAGTCAAGTGAGAAATTTGGATCAAGTTCAAAATATGAAACAAAACCAGAGATAGCCGGTAATCATGGTGCTAGGGAGAGTGATCTGAATGGATGGTAACTTAGGAATTCCTGGAATATATATCTCATTCAGAATAACAAAGGTAATGATGGTAAACCATGAAGAGAATTGTCTCAATTCTCTACTTTTATTATAGGATCAGAGATTTTATCTGAAGTATTCTTTTGTGAGGCTTTGATCTCAATGGATAGAAATATAAAATGTCTCTAATCAAATCATGAATCCACCTAAGCTCTCCTTTCTCTGATTGCCTCTTTCTCCTACCCCCAAAATGCTGGTGGAATCTGAATTGTCTTACTGAAAATGATCAATTGAGAAAAAAATATTTTATCAACTTATTTCCTAGCCTAAGTCAAACCTTCCTTTAATTAAGGTGGCGTCCTAAGTATCGTGGTCATATAAAATATCAAAACACAATGAATTTAACCTGTTTTTGGCTCAGATTCCCTTGAGAATCTGGTAAAAGCTATAGTTTTTGTCCTAACAAATGGCTACACCTAAGTTTTGCTTAAAATTCCAGAGGTTGTTGGGCCTCTTGAAACATTTCTAAGGGTTTCCATACACCTCTGTTCTAAAAACTTGAAATTCACCTAACAATGAATGGGCATCTTCCATGGAATCTAACCATTACAATGCAGACCACCCCACTTGAAACTTTTGCTGAAGATCTCTCTTTCTTGGCTTAAATGCCATCTGTTCTGGATGACTCCTGGATCCATTTTCTCAGATCCACCCTACTTGGGAGCTGCAGACATTCAGCTCTACCTCCCTCCTGGGCATCTTCCCTGGGATGACTAATGAGCACATGTTCACAGCTGAACTCCGTACTCCAAACCAGCCCCTCCTTGTTGATTGTTAAAAGTGTCACTTCTTCCTTCTAAGTATCTGCTAAAGCCATCTCTCTCTGCTGAGAAACTGTGCTCCGCCCTTGCCTCTACTCCATCCTTGTCTCATCCAGTCTCAGTTCTGCTGCCAAAGTTAGCTTTTAAAACATATCACCCCTCTGCTTAACATGTTACACATTTGTGCTATCCATAGCCAGAAGCTTCTATTTAAAAGGGCATGGCTGAGAGCTGTCTTCATACCAGGCGGCTCTTCTCCACGCCATCTTCTGATGTTTCCATATGCCCACTGCTCACCAGGCACACCTCTTTGATTTCTATTATATCTTGGAAACTTTCCACATGTTGGCCCCCCTGCCTGAGAACCCGTCACCCTCATCCAACGTGTGACTCCTCCTCATGTTTCAAGACCACCCCTGAGTGTCACCTCCTTTGTGAGCCATTTTCTGACTCTTCCTGGCAGAGTTATTGTCTCCTCCATCCGTGCCAACTTGCCATTCTCCACAAGCCCCTGCTCTGCCATCGATCACATTGTCTTGCGATTAATGTTTGTCTTTCTAATAGACAGTGTGCTGCTTGAGGGTATTAATATGTTTTATTTTGTATATTTCCCTAGTGCCTAGTACAATGCTCAATGCATTGTTATTCAATGAATTTTTAAGAGAGAGGGGAAAAAAGAAAATATTTCAGGGAACCCCCCCACCCCCCCCAAAGTATGTAAATCCATGGGCCATGCAGGCAGAAAACCACTCCTGCCTCCTTGAAATGAAACAATTAGGTGTAACATCCAAATTAACAGCTTAGAGAAGGAAAGGTAATGTATTTCTGCTTTAAGCTGACAGGACTGTTATGACATAATGAACCCCATTCTTTATTTCTATGTATTGTGGGTGGAGAGCAAGCAATTTTAAAACCCCAAGAAAGTCAAACCAAGAAAAGGAGGAGTTAGGCATGTTGTCATTTCCCACATTCAAATTCTAAAACACAGTAGAAGTTGACAACAATCAGGGCTATTGTTGCTAAATCACTCTCATAGATAGGCTAGCTGGCTCTGTTCCAAGTCACAC